GTTATTTTGAGTGTTAGTTTCAAGAAGTCTGCCATTGATTCGTTCGCTATAAAAGTGTTTAGCAAAATTCTCGCTGGCCGTCCAGCCTGTTCGGATGAATTCTCACAGTTGCCAAAAGATTTAGTTTCTTACAACTTCCACATCCATACATTTCTGCTGAAACAAATAAGATGTAGTAAAAACACGTAAAAGGATAATGGTTTTCCGTAGAGGATATCCGTTATGTAGGATATCGCTTTTGATATGCCTCATAAAAAGTTCTCGGACCACTTTTTAAGGAAAATTATTGTTAGATTGTAAATCGCTACTATCATCTTCACTAGTGAACAAATACTGAGCAACCTCAATTGGAAAAAAAAGCATTTTGATCATTCAGATAGAATACGCGTTGCAGGTAGAAAGGCTCCAATGAGCTTCTTTAACCAAGTCATTCACTATTTTCATAAACTTAGTATTTGTCCAGAAGTCTTTGAAAGCGCCGGCAGCGGATAAATGTGCTGGCTGCACCAACCAGTCTCTGGATTTCGAGTTGATTGCAATGTTTGCTAGGTTTTGAGCAAAAAAGTGAATCATACGAACGAAAATCTCAGTGAAACCCAGTTTGTAAGACTTTTAGTGTATGTACAGATGTAAGAAGAATCTGAATGGTGAGTAAACGAGCGGACAAAGAAGCTCATCTACATGCGTGTAGCACCTTCACATTTTGATCACCTAACAACAAATCTCCACCAACTACCTTTGTATAGGGTTTAGCCTAAATTTTCACTTTTATTAGTTTTTCTTAACGGTTTTCATTGGGGTTTACTTTAGCTTTGATTTGGTTCATTTGACCACCAATAGGAAACTAGAATTATATGTAGACTTATTCATGCTATATGTCGTTCTTTCTGCTATTGTGTTAAATCCGTTGCATTGTTTTTCAAAATTTTCCAGTTGTTTTTATGTGTTTTCCCGAGCTATTTTTAGTATTCATACAAAGAAGTGAAAAGTAATCTCGTTTAAAAAGTTGAATCATAATTTG